CACAAATTGGCCAGTATATGATGTTAAGGCGTTACTAAATGATTTTAGGATGATACGTAGTGCCAAGCTATTTTACGAAGATAGCCGCAATTAATAGATTTTTGCAGTCGTGCGGCGGCATTCTTGGCATTCTCTATTATAATGGCGCGTTACGGCTCAAAAATTAACAATCAGCTTGGCAACTATAATCTGAAATCAATGTTATTATACCCTTAACATCATATACGCCCATTTTCGGGCCTTTACCACAACCCCACGTATCCTTCTTAATATTTACACATGCCTTGCTGCCGCTAGGAGACGTGTAGTCAACCCTGTACATAACGCGTCACGCAAATGCAAACGCACAAAAGTTACCTTTTATGCGACACGCTGACCACTTTTAGTGAGTGACAGGTATAACCGGTTGCAAAACTTTATTACCAGGGAAATGTTTATCCACACCTGCATGTTTAGTCTGTTTCATTTTATCTCTCTTTATCATTTTGCTTTCTGCCGATAATTGCAATGATCGCGATTGCATTGATGACGCGTGCATTAGGCGTCGATGATTGTGATGATTGCGATGCATTGCGATTCTTGTCAGTTTTTGCATGCATTGGTTTTTGTGTTTTGTCTTTTTTTTTACGCGCTCTGAACTAACCTGCGTCATTCTTCGTTGGGCATGTAACGCGCGCGCGTTGTCGTGGGGCCTGTGTGTGTCGGTGTGTGTGTTGTGTGTGTGTGTGCTGTTGTGTGCGTCTGTGTGTGTGTCGCCTGTGTTGTGTCGTGTGTGTGTGAGGTGTGTTGTCGCTTGTGTGTTGTGTGTGTGTGTGTGTGTGATGTAGTGTATGTGTGTGTGTGTGTGTGTGTGTGTTGTGTGTGTATGTATGTGTGGTGTTGTGAGTTTGTGTGTGTGTGTGTGTGTGTGTGCTGTGTAGTATGTGTTGGGTGCCTGTGTGTGTGTTGTGTGGTGTGTGCATGTGTGTGCTGTGTGTGTCGGCTGGTGTGTGTATTGTGTGTATGTTGTGTGTTGTGTGTGTTGTGTGTCCCATGTGTGTGTGTGCGACCATGACTGTGCGACATGTCGTATGGCCCGCCATCTAGCAACCGTGAAGGTGAAGAGATCAGTAGCTAACGACGGCATACACTATGTACCAACAATTACAACACCAAAGCATTTTGCAAACCATATAGGTCACGCGATACAAAAATCAGGGTCAGTTACAATAAAAATAATGCGAGAAAAAAAAAGACAATTGCCGAAGAGCAGGCCCAGCGCCATGCTTCACGAGCCAAGATGGCGGGCCGTCGTTGGCTCGCAGCGCCTCGCTGTCGGCAGACAGAGCAACCGGACAGCGTAGCCGCCAAGAAGCTATGCGCCGAAGATAAAGGCCGTCGCGACGAAATGTAGAAGATAAATAAGCATGATATGTCTTTACGCTCGTCCTTTTAATACCGATCGATGATTGGATCAGCGGGCGTGGCGCGCTGGAGTGCGGGTGTTTGCGGGATAGCGTTTCGCAAACGCCAGCCATAAACGGGTGTGGTAACTCAGGACCCGGTCACTGCGACACGAGATCGGGTTCCAGAAGCCGGTCTACACGGCTGAAGCTGACCGCCGATTGCAAGGCCGTTCGTTTGAAGTCGATTAGCTGCTTGCGTGCGCGCGTGTTTTGATTGATGTGCATGTTTAACTTCCTATCCACCTTTTCTCCCCGCATCTACAATCTTCCGCCATCTTTCCATTCTTTCTACAATAACAGGTGGCTACTAATTTACTAGAAATACACCGCACCCACTTGCGTGCTTTGTACGTTAGACCCATATAATAAATTATCCACACAGCACAGGCAAAGCGCACGTCACATCACACGCGCCACACGCCGTTACATGCATCGAGAGGCATAACCCACATTAAAATAAACGAGCGACACGGCCAACGCGCTCCACACGATACCACCCCGCCA